GTCTGAGGAAGTCTCATGCATAACTCGATCAGCAAAACTGCCCATGTGGAAAATGTGCGCTGACCACACCCACGTCACTGGTGTGACCCTGTATATACCCATGTCACGGGAGAAGAGGCCGCAGCGCTCAGCCCACATTCTCCTAGAAAGCATCACTTCCACTTCCCAATACAGCCTTACATCATTTTTGGAACAACACGAAATATAACCAACCAACAAGTAAATAGATAAACAAAACAAATAAACTCTACCCAGAAGTCTGTTGTGAACCTGCAACTTCACTTCTAAGTACCCAGCAATGCAACTATAACCAGATCTCTGGGAAGAGGGGCCTCGTCTCATTTTTAAAGAGACACTGATGCAAGGAGTAATTAAGGAATGACTATCCCTTTGCTTATTCTGCCCCCTTTATTAAAGTACAGACAGATCCAATGAGAATTAGGCTGCTACCACTTTTACGTGTGAGTACACGGACAGGACCCTTATTTTATGCTCCTTGGGGGCATATTTCCACCTCGAAATGGAATTGCACATCACCACAAGATGTTGGATTACTTTCCCCCACAATATGTAACACCCCTCCCTTTTTTTTTTTTACCCCTGAAAGCACTGTGCAGTAACTGCGTAGCATTTAACATTTATGCTTTTACATGACATCAGCATTTCCTGGAGGAGGGATGAGCTATGTAATCTCCCCTAGGCACCTCGATTTATGCCCTTCCATTTTGCTTAGTTCATTAACTTGTGCTCTTCAGGGAGCTGAAAAGAGATATAAATTGTTCACCTAAGGCAGGCATAATTTTCACCCAAAATCCATCCCAATTCACTTCTTTTTCCTTTCCCTCTCTCACATACACTTTTTAGCACTACAGCAAGTCAAATGATCTTCCCCCTCCACAACAGCCCCAAATTTCATCAATGCTATGTCAAAGGATGAACACATTTTAGCCAAGAATGATAGTTTTTTTAAAAAAATTGAGGAGTCAAGAAAGAATAAATGGAGCTATAACTCAGTTCTTATTCAAAACAAAGAGTGTACAGTTGCCCGCCATAGGCTACCAGGCATTTAACTCCCACTCGCTACTGTGGGTGGAGTCTGAGGAAGCCTGGGTAGGCTGAGGACCCCTGGCTGACCTTGGCTGATGTCAGCCTGCGTGAAACTCCGGACGGGGCCTTTGACGGAGATTTGCTCCAGGCTGCCGTGCTTCACTGTCTGCAGGCGCCCAGCACCAGGATCTTCCTTCACAATGAACATCACCTGACTTTCATCTGAGTCAGTGTCTGTCACTTTCAAGTGCTGTTCTGTGATGCGTGCTGCAGACCCTGGGCGAGAACAGGAGACGCAGGTCATTCCCCATCATTGCCTTTGACTAGGACGTCAAATGATTTCAGGAGACGGCTCTGGGTCTAGGCAAGTAGAATGTGCTTGCCCTCCTGTTTCCATCTCAATAAATGTTAATTTCCCAACCTCCCAATTTGCTATCAGCCATTGAGTGTAAGTCTGAGCCCCCTTTCTCTCCTGATCCATTCTCATTCTCTATGTTTGTTATAGGGTTCTATAGTTAACCCTATAATAAAACCTGCTTGGACCTAATTTATTTACTGCCTTGAGGATCACCAAATCATAAACTCACAAACATATCGGGTTGCCATTTCAGACCAAATAGTCAAAAGCATTGCTCCTCAAGACAGAAGATAGGATGAAGTGACAGAGCAGGGGGAGCCGAGCGCTGGGCCCTGTGAGGCTGCACAGCTGTTGGGGATGAAGGCAGGGCACTGGCTCCTGGCAAACACCTTTTCTGAGGGCCTCGTCCTTGCTTTTCTGTTCAGCCGATTTCTCATATTACAAATAGTAAATTCTGGTAAAGTAGATCCTAGTCACCCAGGTGTTGGAGAAACAGTCCACCATGGGCCCTGGGTGCCCCTGCATTTCCTGCTGGGGAATGCAGAGAATGCAAGGCCTTACCACTCGTTACCCAGGCCATTCTCAGGGATGAGGTGATGCCTTTCCTGGGACAATGATCAGGCTTGCATATTGCTCAGTGCTCCTCTACTGAAATGCATCCCACTGCGCGCGAAGGTGTCCATCTGGGCCCTCTGCACCATCACAAGACGTGGAGGGCAGAGAGAACCAAAGCAAACTTCCGATGGCAATGCTGCCTGTTGTGCTGTGAGTAACAGAGCACTCTGTTTCAGACCCAGGAATCCTGTGTCTTCCACTAGCACCCATGAAACAGAAGCAGGCTAACTAAATTGCTTGTAAATAGGGCAAAGTTAAATCCCAGAACTAATACTTGGGACCTTTGGGAATCTCCAAATTTTATTTCTTAAAATGTGCTGTTTTTTTAAAAAATTATTTCTAGAAAGAGAAGAAGGGAGAGGGATAGAGAGATAGAAACATCGAAGAGAGAGAAACATCATCAATCGGCTGTTTCCTGCATTCCTCCTACTGTGGATGGAGTTCACAACCCAGGCATGTGCCCTGACTAGGAATCGAACCAGTGACCTCTTGTTTCATGGGTTGACACTCAATCACTGAGCAACACTGGCCAGCTCTCCAAATTTTCAAGTACCGTTATATTATTTTTACTACAGAATACATGGGAAACTAAGAAGAGACTAACAGAACTCCAGTGGAATGTAGCTCCTCTGAGGGTAAAAGGTCCACTCCCTAATTAACATGCTAATGCAAACTGGCTCTAAGACCGACAGGTGTCACAGGCTCTTCAGGGTTGCTTATATATGCATACACAACATTGTATGTATAAAAATTACCATAGCAAATGAGCCTCAATTATTTGCACAATCTTTTTAGTGAATGACAGCTTCCCAATTGCCCCACCATGCCAATTTTTTTTTTTTAAATAAGCATGTTGAAAATCCTACTGGATTTCTTTTGTTGTTTCTATGTAGGATGGTTGGGCAGTGGCAATGGTCGCCCTTAGAAATACTATAAACTCTTCTCAATCTTTTCTCAAATTCTGAAAAGGCTTCTGGCCCAAAGAACTTCAGAGGTTCACATTTGTCACAACTTTCAGCGTCCCTAAAGCAACAGTTCTCCCCAACTCCAGTCTCCCTGAGTTCTGAACCCTTAGCTCATAACCTCCTACAGAGCTAACGTGGAAGGAAGACTTGCACTCTGACAAAGAGCCATACCCCTCTCTTCCATCCCTCTGGTACCTGCTGAGAGCTGCAGGCCTCGGTTAACAGCCAAGTGGGGGGCGTCACCCGTAGGCAGCTCAATGTATATCTCCATCCTCCCAGTGTCCATGTGGAGTCCATCAGAGAGAGAGAACCAGAACTCATCCACCTGCACACCGGGCCCACCAGGCGTGTACCCCACCAGTCCGCCCAGGATGTCCTGGTAGGTGAAGGAGGAGCCCTGGTCTAAAATCCTCCCATTCTCCAGAAGCTCAGAAGCAGTCTGCCTCTGGCGTAGGTGACCTGAGGAAGGAAGAAGAACAAAGAGGCAAAGGTAAGAATATATATGGCACCAAAACACTGCCTGATTGTGCCAACCAGTATGACCCTGGAAGAATGTCAATTACCTCAGGGGCTCTTGGTGACACATACATAAGTGACCAAAAACTTAGCATCTTATAAATAAGCACAGGATGCTTCCCTGTGGCCTCTTCTACAAATAAAAAAGATAAAGCCCCACTTTTCCTTAAAATCTCTTAAGGAGACACAAATGGATGTGGTAATCTAATGGCTTAGAAATCAAATCCCACTCCATGAATTCAAACTCATTTCATTATCTAAACCTTATTTTCCCCTTATGCAAAGTGAAAATAGCACTCCTCACTCTCTGCCTTCCTTCCAGGGCATCTGGGATAGGAGATAAGGATGTGTTTTGAATTCCTTTTAAATTCAGAAAGACGCCAAGCATCTTTGGGTTGAGACATAATTTGCTGTTTTCGTGGGTCATGTGTACCACAATGAAACAGTTAACATGCTTCATTAAAGAAAGTAAAAGTGAATGAAGGCAAGATAAAATGCAGCAACCAACAGCCTCTTCAATTAACCCTCCATCAACAACAACAGTTTCATCTTTAAGAGACCAACGGATGTTAGGATGGACCCTTGGGAGATGAAAATTCCAGCGTTAGCTAATACAGGGGGATGACACTTAGGAAAGAATTAGGTAGAAGACCCCGACTTAAACCTCTGGTTTAATCAGGAAAAGTGACTTTTTGTGTGTGCAAAAGTTCATAAAGACATCTACGATGCCTCTAACCTGAAATGAACACCTTTTGCAATTAATAGCAAGGCTGTTCCTTGCATAAGATGGCCCCAGATTGCCAAGCAATGATGCTTTCTCTGAGAAGAGAATATGCAGCTTCTGAAACCTGTTTTGTCTGAGGTTACATAGAAAAGTGAGAAAACAGCTGAAATTGAATTTCAGAAACACCAATTACCTAGGATTCAGGCTTTTAGAGCAACTGGTATCTTCTGTGAGTCCAAAGAATATCAGTTAGCTGTCAGCTAGCTGTGATGTTGATTTGTATTTAGATGCAAAGAATGAATGATATACAGGCAAGGCAGAGAAACAATGCGCTGGAATCTATGTGTTCATTCTAATAACCCATAGGGCACCTCAATTAAGGAACTTTATACAGCAGTTGCGTCCTACCGTGGTCAGGCTTTTTTGTCAATACAAAAATCAGCTCATTATCTGGGGTGTCCAGGTCTTGCAAGCTCAAAGAAAAATTGCTTATCACCACTCCCGAGCTCAGCTGCACGTGCAGGGGCTGCAAAGTCATCCTGGGAGGCTCGTCATTCTTCCTCTGATTAAAGCACAGAACATTAGGTCTCATACAGGTGCCGGTTTAAGAAGGGAAAATGCACATTATTCAGAGGAAGTAATATTGGTGCACCAACTTTCACTACCAAAATAGCATTTAATGTGTCACTATGTTTAATTCCCAATCAAAATGGCTGGTTTCCAAGAAGAGCAAGTCACACAAACAAAATGTCCCCTTGAAAAGAAACAGAAACAGGAGGACATTCTACACAAATCTTCTCAGATCTTTTCCATATGTACAATGATCATATTTTCCAGACCAAGAAAAAAATGGACATGTGGTTAGGCAAGTACAAGTAGATCTGGGGGATAAAAGGACACATTATTTGAAATCAGAACTGTCTTAGAAAACCCTAAGCATATCATAGTGTCTGTAGGAGGGCACCACATTTGAAAGTGTGGGTTTTTAAAGTTGTCTCCTTGCTCTTATGCCAGCGCCACCCACATCACTGTCCCTGAAGGGTACTAAGGGTATCAACTGTTTTATTTGCTCATTGTAGAGGGTACACCATTCTGAGTTTTTATCTTTTTCTTTCTCTCTCTCCCTGATAGAGCAAGCCTATGTAGTGCTCCAGTGAAAATCAATGCAGTATCAAGGAACATAGTTCTTTGATGCTATAATTTAATGAATAAATGCATTAAAAACTTAAGAGAAAGAAAATATGCACATAGAACAATTTCAGGGGGAAATTGGCATATGTTAGTTTTCATCTAAATATGAGATTAGCAAGGTTTTTCTGTCTGACCCCCACAAACTGTTTTCACACAGAACGAATAGATTTTACCCTGAAATGGAAGTTTAGATTTCTAGGTCAGACCATCCCCAAATGCCAGCCTTAATTCTATAAATTTCAGTAGGTTAGGGTTATTTTTTCAAATTAACCTCTAAAAACTGAAGGTCAAATTCAATCTCCCTTGCTTTTCAGTTTATATAAAGCTATTTCACGGTGGGATATTATGGTCAAAGGCCCAACTTCTCCAAAGTCCTTACCTCGATGGTGATATTGATGCTGTGGATTTCCGAATGACTATTTCCATTACTTACATAAAAACTAAAGATATCATGAGTGGGCTCAATGCTTTCATGAACACTCTGAAAGTAGTAAATGTAGTTTTCCAGAATGTCTTGAATTGGGAAGGATGCCTCTGGGTCACTAGTAGTTCCAGGGCCAAAACGATCACCTGCATCAACAAGAGAGAATTTTTACCTTGCTCCACCAATCCCTGATTCCCAGGCTGAACTGGAAAACATGACAGCATTATCAGCAAAAGATGAAGGCATTTGTGAGGATAAAGGCTGGGGTATGGAAGGAGCACAAGACCAGAAACTGGAAGACTTGGGGTTGGATTACTATTTCCCCACTATTTCTCATCTATAAGTGGATACAGCTGCCCTGCAATTCCCACAGGGAATCAAATACAGTAATATGCATGAAAGCACTCAGAATGTCACTATTTTATATAGCACAGAATCCATGGCTGTTTTGTTAGAAATCTTTGATAAAATAAATGCTGGGGCAAGTAATGACACAATAGCAAATGTTCTACCTTAAGCTTTAATCCATTTTAAGACCACTCTATTTGGCATATCCTGCATGAGGAACTCTCTCTACGTAAGGAAAGGTTGACTATATACCTATATATGTAAGAAACAGCTCCTTAAGCATGTTTTCATTTGGCCTCTCAGTTCCTTAAGGAAACCTCAGTATGGATCAGAGTCCAGTCTTTGGGATGGTCCACCAGGGCTGCTGTGATGCTCAAAGGACCATCCAGAGTCCAGGTGCCATTCAGGTCCTGAGATGCTCGAGGACCATCCAGAGCTCCATAGGAAGTGCTGGCCCTAGCTAACTCTTCCTTTCATCCCAACCCCACAGTCTGTAAAAGACCCAGGGGAAGAGTAAGCACTGTCTACATGATGGATGACTTGCCTCTTACTTTTCTGAGTCCTTCTGATTGATTTCAAATTGTTATCACATTTTCTTCTAAAAAACAAACAAAAAAAGGAAACCCCTGTGTCTTCAAACATTCCCTAGACATATCAACAAAGGAAAGTAGAGACAGAAGATCTGAAAGCAGCAAGGCCTTCTCTTTCCTTCTTTCATAGCCCTTTGCAAAGGCCAGGCCATATATTAAAAGGCCACTGATTTTCTGAATTGTAGACAGTGTCATTTTTGACCTCCCAACAGAAAGACTAGGAATTAAAAAGTTTTATTTATCATTTGTTTGAATTAAGAACTCAAGACAAATATTTTTTTTCTTCAATGACGTAAATTTTCTTAAATTTACCCCTCAAATCCGATAGCTCTTGTCACCAGAAGCATAGAGGAGTCTAATCCCCAGGACGCACAGTTTAGGGTTTCCAGAAGAAATGGCCATACGTCCTTCCAGTTCTTATTGTCTCTTCTCACTGATTACCAGTAATGTGATAAATGTGGCTTCATTATTTAGGTCAGACATAGTCTGAATAAAGTAAATAATGCCTATAAATATATGCTAACAGAATAATGATTTATTTTCTGTCACTGGAAAACAAGCCACTCAACAAGTGAATCTGTCACTGAAGCTCTCAGCATCAACCCTTCTGATTTTTAAAACTACACCTTTTATTTTTTTTTCCACAGAAATTGTTCTTCTGTGCTTCCTTTCCTTCTTAAAACAAATAGACTGTATGCAAATTAACGAGCTGTCAGTGCAGGCAGGCTATCACCATGAACATCTATTCCTGCATTGCCCTGGAGCACAGTGGTGCCTAGAGGTAATCAAGGTGGATCCTGTCCTGGTTGTGCTGAAGGAATGTAGACTCCAGGCTGTTAGAGTTTATATTTAACAATATAATTATTCTGTTCCTTCTGGTCTTGCTGGTAAGAAGTTTAAGCTGTTCCTTCTAATGTTTTTATATAGACATTCTTCTGATCAGCTGCATTCTAAACCTAGTTAGCTAGTTTCATATGCATAAGACAGAGTCAGTTCTTAATACACATAGAGCAAAGGGAAGAGTCCTTAAATGTTGTGCCTTGGGACAGTAATTCGCCCCCGGACCATCTCTTCCTTATTTCCAGCTTCACACTAACATAGAGCAGCAGTTTTCCAGGTGTGGCCCTTGGCCCAGCATCAGTGGCATCACCTGTGAGCCAGCGAGAAATGTGAATACACAAGCCTCACCAGCTTCCTCCAGCAGGACCTCTCGTGGCTGCCCAGGAAGCTGTGCTTTCACAAGCCCTCCCTGTGAGTCTATGGACATTAAGAACCATCTTTAGAGAGACTGAGGCTTGCCAGAAATTCGACTTCTGGGCCAATGAAACACTCCAGGTTAACATAAAACCATGGCAGGAAGGCTTAATAAGAAACCATCTAAAGAGAAGAGAAGGCCAGAGGCAACCATCCTTGGCTGCTTCCCACCCTTTGTCCATGCTCTTCCCTCTGCGAGAAATGCCATTTTCCCTCTTCCCACAGCAACTCCCACTAACCCTTCAAGTTCCAACTCAAACGTCACTCCCGTAGCCTTGTTCCTCCCCGCCACCCCCACCCCAGGCACAGGTAACTGTTTTGTTCTATGTACTTTCTCAGTGCTTTGCTCCCTTCCCTGTACTGGCATTTTATGTGTTGAGTCGTATATGTATCAGTCGTCCTATCTGTCTCCCACTCAGGGCAGAGGCTGTGTCCTATTCATCTTTACATCCATTGTGTCAAACATAAGCATTTGTGGAGATAAATCAAATTCAGTGATAAACAAAGTGAAGTGCACACACTGAAAGATGGGGAAAGGACCCAAGGTTTTCTATAGGAGCGCATGGTCACTGCAAAATCAGTTTCCTGTACCCAGCCTCAAATCTCAGGCACCATGCTGGCCGCAGACACCTTCAGTCAATGCCCTCTCTGCGGGAGCCGCTAGCTGCATGCCAATTAGAGCCAAGTGCTGGCACTCAGGAATCTCACTGTAACCTGACAGGGGCTGTCTCAGCTGCCAGTCACTGCGGTCTCAGGGGGCCTGTGCATGGTACACATCTCACTTCTCCTCTGTGATAACCACCAAGGGTGGTGGATCCAACCAGATGGTGGCGGGGAGGGAGGCTGAGGAGGGTCACAGATCGCCACGCACACATTTTAATTCATGTCATATCTTTAGAAGGAGTCGAGACATAAACTATGGTTCTTCTAAACGGCTGCTGCCTCACAATAAAAGGGCAGAAATTTCATTTCCTTGACACTCAATTCTGAGTGTAATCCACAAGGCCCTCTACCCCTACTGCTAGGACCCTGATCTATTTTCCTCCTATAGCGCTGATGTACCTCCTAACATCTTACACGATTTTCTCATTTGTTAAGTTTCTTATTTGACTCCTCCTCTTTTCTCCCAGGATCTAAGGCACCATGAAGGTAGTGGTTTCTGGCTGTTTTGTTTATTGATATGTCCCTAGTGCTTAAAAAGTGCCCGGCCCACAGAAAATGCTCAGTAAATTTCTGATGAGTGGATGAAAACTTCCTTCCTTCCATTTCTTTGAAATGGTTCCATTCCTCTTTAGTTGCCCATGTCCAGGTTTAATCAGAGGTGGTTACCCCTCCACCCCCCCTTCTTTCAATTCTACAGCAAAGCTCCCGCGGTACCTGTTCCTGTGTTCTCAATGCAGCCGTACTTGGGCAGAGCACTTAGTCTAATGACGGTATCGCCCTGGAGGTTGTCCTGATCTTCAGCAGCAAAGAAATGGTGAAATGAGAGTGGAGTTCTCCCTCCCTCGTCAACCTGAGAAAGAAAAGATTGCAGAGAGAGTCCTTGGGCGGATGCAGGCAACTGCACTGCGGTAAAAAGAACTGAATTGCAAAGTGCCGCCTGGGGTGACCTTCTGGCACCAATTTCACTTCTTTGAGGAGGCAGATCCTCCACAGACGAGATGAGGAATGTGCACACTGCTGAGGCCAGGCAATCTCTCAGCACCTCACAAAGTGACACTCAGACAGAATGACTCGAGTGTGACCCTTCAAAGCCGTGCTTCCTTCTATGATGGATCTGGTTATAAAGCGGCTCTGGCCCACTCCAATCACCCACCTTGCACACCTGCACACAGGACGCTGCCTTCCTCCCATATCAACATTCAAAAGCCCACAGCTAGAGAGTGATCATCCAGTCCTCCCCGGACACTGTCCGGGGGACTGTCCTACACGTGTTCCCACGCAGAAAGAAAGTCCTGTTTATTCCTTTACAGTACATATTTGCCAGGCTCAAGATGTCTCAAAGCTAGTGCTGATCTTAATGTCAATGAGGACAATAAATCAGAGGAAGTCAAAGCAGTTGCTCACACTAACTTTCTCCTTTGGGGCCCTGCTTTGCACGCTCACGCTGCAAGCCCAGTCTGGTGTGTTTTGCTAGCCTGCTGGATGTGACCCTGGCTCTGGGAATGGGGAAAGTCCAAATGGCTGCCCCAAGGTGTGGAAATGGGAAAATGGGTGGAACATCAGGATCATTTAGAAACAGCTCAGTTTGATCAGTTTTGAGTCGCTCAATAGAAAACAGAAAAGTTCCTGAGTTTTTGGCATGATGGTACATACAGAGAGCAGGATGAGGAAAGTGAATTAACTTTTATGGAATTCCTACACCATGCCAGTACTATACTGTTTTTTTTTAAAAAATGCTATTTTATTAATCATCAAAGCAACTTTCTAGAATTATTCATATTTTAAAGATGTGGAAGTTGACCCCTAACCAGTTTGGCTCAGTGAATAGAGCGTTGGCCTGCAGACTGAAGGGTTTGATTCCGGTCAAGGGCATGTACCTTGGTTGCAGGTGCATCCCCAGTGGGGGGTGTGCAGGAGGCAGCTGATCGATGTATCTCTCTCATTGATGTTTCTAACTCTCTACCCCTCTCCCTTCCTCTCTAAAAAATCATTAAAATATATATTTTCCACTCCATGGAACTGTTAACACGGTGTAAACAGAGATAAGTATCAACTTAATTTAAGGAGTGACTTAGGGGGACATTTCCATATTCCCATGTTTTAGTTGCTGCAAACATTAGATTATAGACTCCTTAAAGATATATCCCATTTTTAATTTTGCTTCCTCTTCTATACACAGCTAGAAGACATACATATTTATGTCTGGCACATAAATATCTGTTGACTACACCATGTCGATATAATGATTTGATTTTTTGCATACAATTATTTTCTTACTTTTTGATGATTGAAAAGAATGCATATCTTGATACTATTGCCTGGAAACCTTGCGGGAAGAAGTTGGCAGCCAATTTATCAGAAAGAAATCCTTCATTTTACATTCCCACATATTCCAGCTCTCTGTAGCACTCGATGTCTATTGATCTGAGAATTGTTTACCGTTATCAGGTCAGCAAAGGCAATGACTGGAGGTGGATTCTTGACAGGAGTGATCGTGATGGTAAACATCTGATTTTCCAGTCGGTTGTGGTCCATGTCAGACACAGAGAAATGGAAGCTATCCGTAACCAGCTGACCCTCGGTCTCAAACACGGCTGAGTACCTACAGGGGCCAAAAGAAGAATCAAATGAATGAGCTACACTGAGAAGCCAAGTAAATGAGTGCATCTTTGTTTAAAAATGGGGCCAGGCCCTCGCTGGTTTGGCTCAGTGGATAGAGCATCGGCCCATGAACTAAAGGGTCTTGGGTTTGATTCTGGTTAAGGGCATGTACCTCAGTTGCAGGCTTGGTCCCCAGCCCTGGTCGGGGCAGGGGCCGGAGGCAACTAATCAATATGTCTCTCTCACATTGATGTGTGCGTGTGTGTCTCTTTCTCCCTCCCTTTCACTCTCTCTAAAATCCAATGGAAAAATATCTTAAAGTGGGGATTAACAACAACAAAAAAATGGGTCCAGAAGCAATATCATCTTTCAAGGGAGTTACTGTTTAGTTATTAACTTTTTAAAAATTTTGTTCCACATCTTAAAAGAAGTATTGAATTTATTGGGGTGACATTGGCTAATAAAATTATATGGGTTTCAAGTGTACAGTTCTATAATACATCATCTGTATATTGTACTGTGTGCTCACCATCCGAAGTCAAGGTTAACTTTTTTATATTAAAAATTTTTAATGTTGACATTATTGCAGGTGTCTCCCTTTATGCCATTTAAAAAATCCTGTCAGGTAACACAAAGTGGTTACATACCTAATTTTCTGGTTGTTGATATCTCCCATCGTGAAATTGGCAACCTCTGAGATTTCTTCCACTTCAAGTCCTGAGGTTCTTAAAAGAGTCCCGTACATGGGCAGAGAACTTAATTGAATCCAGATCTCGGAGTCGGGGGAAGAATCATCCTAATCAGGCAAATATGAGGGAAGACAGGAATGCACATTTGCAGAAATAAATACTGCAGTAGTTAAGGATCAGGGTGACTCCTGCTCTGCTAATTGGACGTCTCTTTCTCTTTGTGACAAAGCAACACCATTTCAAACTGCAGGAAAATCCCAGTACTCGTTCCTCCTAATGCCTCTTTGATAATCTCTTTTTTCAAGAGTAGCTCAAGATATCAGTGGGGAAATGCCCGTTAGGCATGGGGCATAAAACTCTATTGTTACTAGAAGAGCCACACAAGGTCTCGTTTTTTATTACAAGCATCTAGTGAAGAACAAAACAGGGTCAGAGATAAAAGTCCTCTTCTGAAAACACAGTTGTAGGCTTCTTCTAGAGTTTCTAAGAATGATTTCCTTTTTAGAAACAGGTAAAATTCTCTTATAATGTTAATACAATGATAAAGAAAATTCTGCAAAACAGAGAGAATGGAAGTTACTTAGCACAGCCAATGACTCACTTTAATGTACAACATGATAAAATTTTGAGTTAAATAGAATCTAGGGAATGTTATGGGTTTCATCCTATCAGGACTGAAAAGACCATTTCCTTTTTCCTTCTCAATTGCTTAGCAGGAAATAAAATTGGCTTTCTGTGTTTCTACATGGACAACAATTGAATGTCTTAATGAACAATTTCCTCTTTCTTCAAGGATATTTTTGGGAATAACTAGAAGATAGGCAACATCTCCTTGAAAGGTTTTCTTGGAAGTCACTCATCTTTCAGAGTACTTGATGTGAACACGGAGGCACTTCACACTCTACCATAGCAACAGTGAAGGTCAATATTGCATAGTTGGGTGTACTCTCAAGAGCAAATGTTCACAGCTATGTTGTACAGTTAGCTGAGGTCCTGGGCAGAAATGTGAGCATGGGTAGGTGGTGACCTGGTGGTTTTAATCAGTTCTCATTTCTAGCCTCAGAAGCCTTTTTAAGTTGGCTATTCAGAGCCTCAAGGCAAGATCACAGAACTTTCCAGATTTCCTCACATCTTTTGACACTAGCAAGAGAGGAAACTCAAATTCATTGAGACTGCAACACTTCAGAAAATTTCCCCTAAATTTATGCTTTAAAAGTTTCTCTATTTTTCCACATGGGGTGTCTAATACAATATACAGACTTCCAAAAGACTACCTCTTAATTCAGTGATGGCAAACCTTTTGAGCTCGGCGTGTCAGCATTTTGAAAAACCCTAACTTAACTCTGGTGCTGTGTCACATATAGAAATTTTTTGATATTTACAACCATAGTAAAACAAAGACTTATATTTTTGATATTTATTTTATATATTTAAATGCCATTTAACAAAGAAAAATCAACCAAAAAAAATGAGTTCGCGAGTCACCTCTGACATGCGTGTCATAGGTTCGCCATCACTGAACTAGGAGGTCATGGTTCAATACCCAGTAGGTGGCGTGCAGGAGGCAGCTGATCAATGATTCTCTCTCATCATTGACATTTCTATCCTCTCTCCTCTCCCTCTCTGAAATCAATAAAAAAAAATACGTTTTAAAATTTTATAAGAATATAGAGCTTTTTATGAACAAAAATAGATACAAAAGCAGAGCAGCCTCAAACAGACTATCAAACCACAGCG